TGTTTCCGCCCACAAGAGTAGAGGGCATGGCAATTGTACCATCTTTATAAAGTTTCATAATTTTTTATTTCTAAGTAAAACTAGAGCACATGTCAAGTTTCACCTGCCTCCATATAGCCAAAACACTGTGCGCCGGTTAGAAATTTCTCAGCGATAAGATTTCGAAAGCGTGTGCCCATAGCAGGTGTAGACATGTAGTAAGAGGTATGTTCAGTTGCCACACAGGTGACGTGGGGTATTTGATTAGAAAATAGAAAATGCTAAAAGGAGAAATTTACGAACAGGTGAAATACATAAGAAGCTGTGAAAGATTAACTAATAAATTTCTTGTTCCAGTTTAATTTCAGTACATTTATGTTAGCAAGAATGAATATATAATATTAATATGCATACATTTAACATATTTTAACATCATTGAATTTGTCAGGTGTGAAGAAGTGGTTCCTACTGTTATAGCTAAGGTGGCGGGCGGCACTTCGTATATATCAGTGACTGAAATTCAGACGACTATGTTGATCTCTCACATATGTGTCATGATATATACAGCATTAGAATAATAATGCTAAAGAATTTACATGAGAAAAGCATATTTTCGCCAACTTTGAAAATAGCATTTGCTCCACGGGCCAAAAGTTCACATTAGCAGCTATCCCACCCATTGCCTGGCAATCGTGGCGATCGTGTTGAATGAAAAGGTACAGAAGCAGCGCAACAGGCATGATAGAAAATTGCAAAAAAAGATACGTATAAACAAACAATAGAAAGTTTTTAATTTTTTTCTCGTTCCGAAGATATTTGGGATACACAAGGCCAAAGATCTACAAACGAATATAAACAAAGTCTAAAATATTTATATTGCTCCAACAACTCATTGTAATAAGGTGAAATATTAGTTCATCGTCAGATTTCCTAAAAAGGCAAACGTAAGTAAACATTTTGTACATTCTAAATGTTTGCAATAATTCTTGGCCTAATTGAATTTCACTAGGAATGGCATCCGCAATCAATTCTAATGAGAAAGCAGACAACAACTTAAATCAAAAGAACCATCTTGTAAATGATATTTCAGTTGAAATGGCATATCAGCGTAAACAGGTTAAGGAAAATTCTAATCTACTTGGTCAAAATACTGAAAATGGCACTTCAATAAATGAAAACGAAGATACAACGTCCTTACTAAATGGCAAAGCTAAAACTTTAACTGCCAATTTGACCCAACGCACATCTACTGGTACATTCATGAAATTGAAAACATATTTACATGCACTGCGTCCATGGTCATTATCAGGCAGCTTGGTGCCAACGTTGATGGGTTCAGCGTTGGCATATCGTTCTCAATGGGCAGCCGATTTTAGCCTAATAACATTTTTTCTAACCGCCTTCACTGTAGTCACAGTACATTGCGCTGGAAATGTGGTGAATACATATTTTGATTTCATCAAGGGAATCGACAAGCAAAAGGCCGACGATCGCACACTCGTAGATCACATACTTACGAAGGATGAGGTAAGCACATACATATGTATGAATGTATTTTATAAACATTTAATTTTAGTTTTGTTTACATTATTAATAAAATGTTTTCAGTGTACATACATATTATGTATACGGTTACTCCCAAAATTGAGTGTTCTGAAAATTTTTTATATGGAAAAAAATGCGCAGGACAGTCAGCAAAAAAGTTCTCAAAAATCAACTCGATTTCTAGCATGTAAAACATCGCAAATATTAACAAAAAAGAGCAGTACGCTCAATTTTGAGAGTAACTGTACATATCACACACGTTCTTCAAAGGCGTGCTAACTCAAAATCGCTCATTTGTCGGAAAATGCAAGTAATTTTTTTAAGCATATGCTAAATATATGCGCGAGGGAAACTTTACTTTATATGTTTGCAATAAATAACTAAAAAAATTGGTGCGGCTTTTGCAGGAAGTTAAATAAATGGTCGGGTGAATTTTTTTAGCTCATAATATCAAAAATGACAAATTTTGAATTATTACACTTTTACAGAGCATATGCGATATGCATTCCCATATTTTCCGCCCGTTTGACTGAGCGCACTCTACTGCCTGTTCTTTTCTGTTTAAAGACTTATTAACTCTATGTTTTTTTTTTTTGTTTTTGTTACGCGGTATATCTTTGTTACAATTATACTTCTAATCTCGTATTTATCTAAAAGTAAAGCTCAATCGCGGTACGTTTTAGGTTTTCAGTATTCTATCCTATCTCTTAGAGATACATATCGTCGCTTAAAGTACAAAACCGTGTAACTGACATTGGCTGCCGAAAATTGGATCTATTCGTCCTGAAATATACTAGCCAGAAATGCGATTGCTTTATTAAAAAGAGAACCATTTTGAAATATGAATGTTTTTAATAATTTATGCAGCTTCATACGCTTTTATGCAACCTCACGTTTTGCATTATCTTGATACGCGATTTTGCATTTTGTTGATACGCGGTTTTGTACTTTAAACGACGATATGTATTTAAATTTTCCATATAATAGTTTTATTTTCGCATGCTTATCTGCAACCGGATTCCAACATTGCTATCGCTAATTTTGATCGCCAAAAATCCAAAAGGATAGCAGACGCCCCTAACAACACGCAACATCTATGTAGTTATATTTCCCCATGCTCCCAGATTTGGCTGATTACACATTGCACGTGTTATTCCATCTTGAATACTTTTAGTCCCCACTGCTTTTAATCTAGAGAATTTTGGCGACAAAATTTTGCGAAGCGATTGTCAGAATACCACTGCTGACAAAATTTCAAAAATCAAAGCCAGTTTGTATTCACAACGGCCTTAGCCAACACTTTTCGAAACTGCATTTTTAACAGATTTTGGTAGGATGTATAAAACACATCTTAAATAAAAATTTTAAGTAGTAGTACCAAAAACAATGGAGTTATATGCCACTTTTAAAAATGCACTACTTGTTTTTGCTACTCTTTTTATAATGTTTTTTACTTCTGTAAAATAAAAAATTTATTGGTTAGGGCATTTGTGGATTAATTGTGTGTAATATCTAAATTGTTACATAAAAAAACAGCAAAAGCCGTAACCATAAAAAAAAATATTAAAAGTCAGCGCGATTGGTTGAACATTGTAAACAAATTGAAATATAAAGGGCTATAAAACCGCATACCAAAACTTTTCCGAAAAATTTTAAATAAAAAGTTTGCACTTTGAATGAAATTTAGCAGAATTTTCGTAATTTGTGTACAAGGTTTGAAATTTGAGTTTATATATTTGGTTTTTGTTAGAACCTTGTAAATTTGTCCGGCACTGTATGTACATTGAGAGGTGATTTCTTCAAGTCAATTTAATATATTTTCTTAATTTGTAGGTTGTCTCATTGGGAGCAATTTTGTACATGGCTGGTTGCGGCGGCTTCATCTGCTTAGCCTTTCTGAGTCCAGCTAAAATGGAACACCTGGCGTTAATTTATTTCGGCGGTCTATCGTCCAGTTTTCTTTACACTGGTGGAATTGGTTTCAAATATATTGCCCTTGGAGATGTTGTAATTTTGATACTCTTCGGACCATTGTCAGTATTGTTTGCGTTTATGTCACAAACAGGTCATGTGGACTGGACCACAATATACTATGCTATTCCTCTGGCACTAAATGCCGAGGCTATACTACATAGTAATAATACTCGCGACGCTGAAAATGACCGTAAAGCAGGGATTGTGACGTTAGCAATAGTCATCGGACGCACTGCATCGCATGTTTTATATGCATTGTTGCTATTTACGCCGTACAGCGTGTTTGTAGTATACGGTTTGAAGTATTCGCTATGGTTTTTATTGCCGCTCATAACTGTTCCGCAAGCATTTCAAATCGAGAAACGTTTTCGTAATGAACAAACAATGAGTTCTGTGCCACGGCAGACGGCAAAATTAAACTTTTTTTTCGGGGTGCTTTTCATAGTGGCGATATGCTGTGCTAAACAACTACCCGACTTCAGTTACCGCAGACATTAGAATGATAACTTTCATATTCATACCAGTAGGGAACAATAACTTTCATTTAATGATAGAATTGACCATGTCATACGATAATACATACTTACGTAAATATACACGATTTTTAACGCTTCCCATACTTATGACAAATGAAAATATATGAGAGTGAAATATTGGAGTTAAGTCACAGAAAAAATATACTCTTTACAGTAAATTATGTATATGTAGTGCTTAGATAAAACTAAAAAATCTATCAATAAAATATAAAATCATGATAGTGCAGCTTTTACAAAAACTAAATCTGAACTTTCATCTAAAATAGCTTAAGTCGAAACCCATTTTGTAACAAATAAAAAATATTTAAAAATAATTTAGCGTGAATATAGGGAATTTTTCGTAAACGTTAAAAAATTCTATGAATAAACGTAGTAACACGAAATATCATAAAATGGAAAGTGATTATCTGAACGTTTTTTTCAATGTTACAATTTTTAAGTTGTGTACTTTATTCTTAAATTCAACTTTTAATTTCTTTCCATCCCAATTAAAAAAATCTTAGTTGTTGTTGTTGTTGTTGTTGTAGCGGCTACAACAACTCCGCCCAGATCGGCCCTAAGAAGCGTGCAGCCTCCATAGGGTCGATCCACAGGGACAAAGCCGTTAGAGTTGTCGGGTTTTCCGGGCATGCGAAGAGATATTTCAAGTCGTGAGGGGTCTCTCCGCATGCCGGACACTCATTTGGCACATCCGCGTTTATTCTGCTCAGGTATGAGTTTAACCTGCTGCAGTAGCCAGAGCGAAGTTGGGCTATTGTGGTTCTTGTCTTCCGAGGCAGATGAAGCTCTGTCTCGTCAATGTCCGGTGGTTGTGTGCCTAGAACGGCATTCACAGGTCTGGGGTCTACATAACTCGAGACTGACTCCCTGTGAATGCCGTTCAGGGCCTGTCGGTATGCTGACGGGTCCAGAGGTATTAGTTGTTGTTGTTGTTGTTGTAGCGGCTACAACAACCCCGCCCAGATCGGCTGATATCTCAGTCGTTGTCGTCGAGTTCCACTAGCGTGCAGCCTCTATGGGGTCGGTCCATAGGGACGACGCCGTTAGGGTTGTGGGGTTTTCCGGGCATGCGAAGAGATGTTTCGAGTCATGAGGGGTCTCTCCGCATGCCGGACATTCGTTCGGCACATCCGCATTTAACCTACTCAGGTAGGAATTTAGCCTGCTGCAGTAGCCAGAGCGAAGTTGGGCTATTGTTGTCCTGGTCTCCCGAGGCAGATGGAGCTCCGTCGGGTCAATGTCCGGTGTTTGTGTGCCTAGAACGGCATTCACAGGTCTTGAGTCTACATAACTCGAGACTGCGTCCCTGTGAATGCCGTTCAGGGTCTGTCTGTGAGCTAACGGGTCTAGAGGTTGCTTAATGAACCTCTGGACTTCGTCCGTCAGTTCATATAGATGCCTCCTGACGTGCCTCGGCGAGGGCTCCTCTGCAAGCAGCTGTCTATTTGGGTGGCCACATCTGTGGCTCCCAGCAAGAAACTGCTTGCAGAGCATCGTGTTGTGCTCCCTAATTGGGAGCATTTTCGCCTCATCGTGGAGGTGGTGTTCTGGTGACATCAGGAGACATCCGGTCGCTGTCCTTAGTGCTGTATTTTGTACCGTCTGTAGCTTCGTCCACTGCGTCCTACTAGTCTCCGGCGACCACACTGGTGCTGCGTAGTTTAAAACCGGCCGGCCTATTGCCTTGTATGTTGCCAGCAACGTTTATTTGTCTTTGCCCCAAGTACTGCCGGCTAGCGACTTGAGGACCTTGTTGCGGCTCTGTACTTTGTTGACAATAGCGGTTGCGTGCGCGGAGAAGGAGAGCAGGCTGTCGAATGTTACTCCGAGAATTTTAGGATTATTCACCGTCGGAATTGGTGTGTCATCGACGTGAATTCCTAGCAGTAGCCTGACCTCGTTCGTCCAGGTTGTAAAAAAGGGACGCAGAGGATTTCGTAGGGGAGAGGGCTAGCCACTTTGCAGTGAAGAAGCGAGAAAGTTCAGAGAGATATCCGTTTACTTTCGAACACGGGTCATCAATTCCATTCCCAGTCGCCATGATCGAGCAATCGTCGGCGTAAGAGACAATCGAGACTCCCTCTGGTGGTTGAGGGCGCTTTGAAATGTAAAAGTTAAACAGTAGTGGGGGAAGGACACTACACTGTGGAACCCCCTGTTTTATTTTCCTAAGTTTGCTCGATTTGTCTCTAAACATTACCGACGAGTGTCGACCATTTAGATAATTTGCCGACCACCGTTTGAGCCTCTGTGGGAGAGAGGAAGCCTCTATATCTTCTAGTAGCGTGGAATGGCTGACAGTGTCAAAAGCCTTTAACAGGTCCAACGCTACTAGAATCGTTCTCTCACAGGGACCTTTACGGTTAAGGCCACGAGTTATCTGAGTGTTTATGGCGTTAAGTGCTGTTGTTGTACTGTGCACTTTCGGAAACCATGCTGATGCTTCGCTGGGGTCAAGTGGTTTGTGAAATACGGGAGTAGCAAGGCCTCGAGTGTCTTCGCTACCGGGGAAAGGAGTGTTATCGGACGATAAGAATCTTCTATGTTGGCAGGTTTCCCCGGTTTGAGCAGTGAGACCACTCTCCCCACCTTCCAGATGTCTGGGATGATGAGAGTGGCCATGGACAAATTGAGGACCTCCGTTAGGTACGCTACCCCCGCAGGACCCAAATTTTTCAGCATCAGCATGCATATTCCGTCGGGACCCATGGCTTTGGAGGCTTTCGCCTTCCCGATGGCCACCTGAACTTCACCGCAAGTGAAAGCAAGGGGGCACAGGTTGTTGGCAGTTTGTGCAGCCTTCTGGTCACTCGACGCTTGGCTTTGTCCACCGGAGGATGCAGTATGAACTGCCGGCTAAAATAGCTCGCGCATCGCTCCGGGTCCGACGAAGCATGGTCGCCGAAAGAAATTTCGACTCTGTCGTCGTGCTTCGTCGGATTGGACAGTGAAATCACGGTTGACCAAAGCTTACTCACACCAGAGGTGAAGTTGCAGGTCTTCAGATGCTCTTCCCACTTCTTCCGCTTATGTACGTTTACTAGTTGCCGAATCTCCGCGTTGAGATCCCTGATACGGGGCTCTCCGGGATCGGCTTGACGAAGGCTGTCACGCTCGTCGGCTAGAACAGCCGCTTCAGCAGGGAAATTTGGGCGTGGGTCGGTGATGCATCCTGCCGGTACGAAGCGGGCTGCAGCAGCGGTGACAGCCCTGCGGAGCTTACGTTCACCAAGGTGGACGTCGGTTGGTGTGGGGAGGGCAGCGAAGGTGTTTTCAGTAAATTCCGCGAAGCCTTTCCAATCAGCTTTTGAAAAGTTGATATATGTTCGGTCCTCCGCGGAAGCAAAGTCGGTTGGTTTATCGATCGAGATGACTATGGGCAGGTGGTCTCATGCCAAAGTCAGCATAGGTCGACATGATATGCTGTTTATCAGACCAGCGCTGACTATTGTTATGTCTGGCGAGCTGCAGCAGCTGCCCATAATCCTGGTGGGTGCGTCGTCGTTCATTGTGCGGAATGTCGAATCGTCTATCTGCTCAGTCAAGTCAGTTCCCCTACGATCGTTCGACAGGCTTGAGTGCCAAAGATCGTGGTGCGCATTAAAGTCGCCTACTACTATACGGTTTTCACCTCTGAGGAGCGCACCTATGTCAGGGTGATATCCTACCGGGCAGCAGGTGACGGGGTATATAAACGTTAAATATTTCGAGCTCAACATCGCCTGACCGGATAGCAATGCCCTAGCATTCTAGGGTGGTATCCCTGCGGTCGATGTCTGCTTCGATAAGACGATATTGCACGGTGTGGTGCGTAATGAACGCTAGGCCTCCACCATTATCCCGCTCGCGATCTCGACGGTGCACGTTGTACCCGGCATAATTCAACAGTGTTGAATTGCTGTGCAACTTCGTCTCTTGGACCGCAGCTATCAATATGCCATGCCTTCCCATGAAGACGGTTATCTCCCCGAACTTGCTCTGAAGCCCGTTACAGTTAAATTGAAGGAGCTTCATGTGGTTCGGGAGACGTGTGGTGATGCGGGGTGTGAGGGATGTGTGTGGTCGAGCCGCAGTTGGCTGTGTGCGCTGCTGAGGTGGTTGCCGCCCCGTGGTAGTGGCAGGAGGCGTCGCAGTTGAGGTCTGCGACCAGGCAGCGCAACATGGGCCCTCGAAGTTCCTCGTCCAATCTCGCGTGGTGCGCAGACCTGAGCATGCCCTAAAGTGGCACCAGCCAAGGCAGGTGTTGCACTTGACTGATGTCACATTACGGAATATCCTGGTCTGACATACCGTGCAGATTGTAGGAGGAACCAGGAGTTGTTGGCGGCGGCGTGTGGGTGGTGGTGTGGTTGTGTGTATTCTGCGGTCTGTAGCCGTTGTGGTGTGGTCTATTGTGTTATGTTGTGCTGTGGTGTTTGTGTGGGACTGCTCAGGTGGACAGGGGTTAGCCGTGGAGGCCGCTCTGTTAGAGCAACAGGGGGCCACAAAAGACGTGGTCCACTGCCGATGTTTCCGTAGCCCTGAGCAGACTCTGAGGTGACTCCACCCCTCGCAAGCATTGCACTTGACAGATGTGGAGTTGTGGTGTAGTCGTCTCTGGCATACACAGCAGGTGTAGGTTTCTGGCCTTGGGTTTGACTCGATGCCAGCCCTGAGTAGGGGAAAACGTAGCGAATGCAGCCCTATGGACGAACAACTTCTGAGATACTTCGCCGACCTAAACGGGGTTAGATCGCCGAAACAACAGCCCTTGGTCGGGTAAAACCCGAGTCATTCCGGTACGTAGAACCGGCTGTCGTGGGAATGTGTCATTCCGGTACGTAGAACCGGCTGTCGTGGGAGAGGTATTAGTATTTAACCATGGTGAAATTATAACAGCTGGTGTAATTAGAGCGATAAGAAAGGTTTGACAATATCTTATTTTAAAATTTGCCTTTAAAAATTTCTATAAGATAACCGAATGTTTAATACCATGGAGAAATTATAAAGAGGTGTAGTAATAAAGAAGCTTTCTCGCTTTATTTTCTTAATTTTCTTGACATTCGGCTATCTTCTAGAAATTTTTCAAAGCAGATTTTCGAATAAAATGGTGTCAAACATTTCTCCTCGCTCTTATTACTACACCTGGTATCATGATAAAAAAAACAGAAGGTAGTTTCACTCAATGATTTCGGTCCCCATGCTAATCATTTAACTTTTGCTGGCATTATGACAGCTCCATCAAAATCAAGCTTCCAGCTCCAAAAACATAATTTTTCGACTGCC